TCAGAAAATGTACCCTTATGACTGGTTTTGTGGTCCAGGGTCACATATTTATATCAACTTATTAAAACATTATTGAAACATATAGAGTGACAACTCAACATTTTATGTCAGTAGTAAGCTGTAATAAAGATCTCACTGATTTGCATTACAAGCTTTCAGAATTTCATTTTACTTTTTGGCCTTATAAATATAAGAATCTGCACCATATTTTTGCTCAGTTTGGGCCTCTGAATAAAACTGATGTGTTTTTCCTCCTTGATTATGAGCTCCATATTCTCACTATATCATACTATATGAGCCATAAAAGCCTGATGTATCAAATATGACACTCAGTAAATGAGTTTAATTGACAATTTAAAAAAGTCTAGTGTTTTTCTGAATAAAATATGTTTCTGACTATTACTTCATATGTCAGGGTTTCCAGGGTTAAATTATAGTGCAAAAATCTCTACTAACATTAAAAGTAGACCTCAGGGAGAAAAAAGAAGAAATCGATATTAGGGGTGTGGAAATTAATCGTTGCATTCTACATTCTACATCAATGCAGTAATAGACCATAATCGATTATAGCCTTCTGACGTCATTCGCATACGCGCTTGTCACGCAAATATTAAAAATGCACTCTCTAGTTTAAAATTTGAGCTTGGCTTTTTTCCCGCATATGGCAGGTGTGTGAGCTAGAGACAATCGCGGCGGCTTCACTGCTCAAAATATGCGCTGTGAGGCACGTGCCCATTGCTTGACAATGCTTCCACTCGCTGTTATTTTAGTCTTTTACTTTAGATATGCTTTCATTTCTGCCGTTTGGAACGCACGAAACTCACGTACTGATAGACTTTCACGCGCACTTTGTGTTTGTTTGTCCTGAAGCTCGCGGCTGCGGTTAAATACACTTGCATCTACTTTTATGATACGGAATTGATGTAAACACAGCCAGTTATGTTTTCAGAACAGGACAAAACATCTCAAAATAGATCTGTGCATTAGTGTGACTGCAGTCTATTAAAGCTGCCACTGTCTATGATCTCATCAGTAATAATCAAATGGCAATAATGCTGAGGAAAATAGAAAAACCCATAACTATGATTGTCTGTAAACTTTCAGATACTTAAACATAAAGCACTTTCAGTATTGGGAGTGCTTTTTCACTTGTAATTGTCTTTTTCCCCCTTTATTACTTTATATTTGCTTGCATGTTTTAAAAGCAATATTTACTTTTAGTTCTTAACTATAAATAATTAATTATCTATGAATTAATATATTAATTAACATAATCATTTTAAACAGTAGCCTGCTTATATAATTGAATAAAAATGCTCAAAATCAAGCGTAGCGTTAGTTCTGGCAGGTCACGTTAGTCAAGCTCGCATCAGCTGACTCTCAGCTGATCCCCATCTACCTATAGGAATACGACACCTATCTAAGCATTCATATATAAGGTCCCTCAGTATTATCAGCAGTTTTCGCATTGCTCAATAGCTAATTACCCTCCTCCATCCCCAGCTCCTCCTCTGTCAGTCGGGATTCAGCCTTCTGATTCTCCTTTGAATCAGACTAATTCTAAAATGTGTACATAAAATTATTGAAATTTAACAATATCTGCAATACACTTATGTTGGTTCTGTTCTGTTTATTGCTGTTATTGCTGCACTCAGCTAGGCTGCATGGATGCGCAGGGAGTTCTTGCCCAGAACAGAACCATACCGCCAATCCAAACTGTATGCTAATTGTCAATCATCTTTGACGATAGTGGTCCTGACAGAAATAAATTCGATATAATCTTGATGCATTGTGATACTGAATTGAATCGAATCGTTGACCAGTGCCGATTCACAGCCCTAATCAAA